GAACAGGGCATAAGGCCTTCATTAAAAGCATGTGAATACCTTCTTGGACCCTTTCCCCACAGACTCCATACCCTTAACATCTTTCAAGTCTAATTGCCAGCAGAACTACAGAAAAGTTGCTTAAGAGAATGTGCACAAAGGAAAAGAAGGCACATTTGCTCTAATCTGGCTTTTTTAGTACTACTACTACCACCCGTAGTAATATGACTGACCGTTCTTGTTTTCAACTGAGCTATGTCCTACCTCCTTCTCCCCAGAAGGTGGAGGGTTTGGAGCCTTCCTCTGAGCTTGGATTGGACTTCTCACACTAGGGATTATGCCAGGTCAGCAAACTATAATCTGTGGGCTCCCGTTTTAGTATAGCCTGGAAGCTAAAATGGTTTTTGCATTTTTAAATAGATGAAAAAATAAAAGAAAGTATATTTTGGGACACATGCAAACTATATGAAATTCAAATATCAGTGTCCATATAAAAAATTTTATATAACCACACTTATTCATTTATGTATTGTCTAGGTCTGCTTTTGCACCTACAGTTGAATAGTTGCAACAGAAATGTGGCCCACAAAACCTAAAATATTTATTATCTAGCTCCTTACAAAAAAAGTTTGCAAATCCATGTGCTAGTTACCAGGGACATGCCCTCAAGAGGTTTAGCATCAGGAATTGAATAACTGTCCCTTTTCTCATCAAAGAACATGAAGATGGTAGGACCCTAGAAATCATTTAGACTGAGGCTTTCATTTTACCTTTCTCTTAATTTCCCAGTTTGAAGATGAAAAACTGAAGTTTAAAAATTCTTAGGAGTTTCCTAAGTTTAGATTGAGTTATTGGCAGCATAGGGACTTACACATAATTCTCCCTACTCTTGGTAGGATGTTCCTGCCTATTCATCCTTCCTGAGTCCTATTATCTGTACTAAAGTGTGGCAAGATCTTAGACAAATTACTTGCTTTCTCTGTATCCCTGTTTCCCTGTTGTAACGTGAAGATTCTGGACTTAGTTTAACTCCTTTCAACTCTGATGTACACTGCTTTTCAAATAAGATGATGCCTAGTTCTATAACTAACAACAAGAACACGAGACAGGAATTCAGAAACCCTGAATTCCTGAATACTAGCTCCTGCTGGTTAATGTCTGCATGCCCTTGGACAATGTTTAGCTTCAGGTTTCATTCACAAAATAAGCATAATAGTAACATCTATGTCACTAGGTCAATAAGATAGTAGTTATGATAGAGCTCAATAAACAATGAAAAGGAATTCATGAAAGAATATGCATAATTTATTAATAAGATTTCTTTGCCCTGGCCGGTTTGGCTCAGCGGTTAGAGCGTCGGCCTGCGGTCCTGAGAGACCCGGGTTCGGTTCCCTCTAAGGGCGCGTACCTCGGTTGCAGTTTGTCCCCGGCCCTGGTCGGTTGTGCGGGTGGCAGCCACTCGATGTGTCTCATTCGCATCGATGTTTCTCTCTCTCTCTCTGTCCGTCCCCCCCCCCCCCGCTCTACTTGAACAAAAAATGGAAGGATGTCCTCGGGTGAGGATTAAAAAAAAAAAAAAAAGATTTCTTTAACCATGATAATCTGAGATATTCTATTCCTTCTGTGGTGGGAAAGAAAAGGTAGAATGTGTGGAAAGGAAGGAAGTAGAAACTGGAGGGGGAAAGGATAAGCGGGGCAAAGAAAAATAAGAGGGTGGGGAGAAGGAGAGGAAAAGAGAAGTAGATGGGGAGAAGGAGAGGAAGTTAGAAATGCGAAAAGAAGGAGAGGAGGGATGGGAATAAGTAAAACAAAACAAAAAAAGGAAAGGCCCTTGTCAGGTAGCTCAGTTGGTTAGAGCATTGTCTTGGCACATCAAGGTTGCAGGTTTGATACCTGGTCACAGCACATATAAGAATCAACCAATGAGTGCATAATTAAGTGGAACAATAATCAGTCTCTCTCTCTCTCTTCCCCTCTCCTCCCTTCATGTCCGTCTCTCTTTTCCCCTCCCTCTCTCAAAGTAATAAAACAATTTTTAAAATTTTCATTTATTTATTTTTTAAAATATGTTTTTATTGACTTTTTAGAGAAAGAGGAAGGGAGAGAGAGATAGAAACATTGATGTGAGAAAAACAATCAGCTGCCTCCTGCACACCTCCCACTAGGCGCTGAGCCCGCGACCCAGGCATGTGCCCTTACCAGGAATTGAACTGGGACCTCTTAGTCCATGGGATGATGCTCAATCCACTGAGCCACACAGTCGGGCAATACATTTTCTTTTCTTTTTTCTTTTTTAAGGAGAACGAGAAGGCAGAATGAGATGGGGAGGAGGCTGAACATACTGAGTGAGGGAAGAAGAGAGGAGATGGTGGATGGAAAAGAATACTGGGGGTAGCCAGACAGAAGGCTATGCTACTATCCTCCCCTCCTGTTTGCCATCATTTCCCAGCCTTCTGTTCACTCTGCCATCAACAACTTAATTCCTCTCTCATAGTCTCTTCCTTCACTCTAATGCTCCCTGACTTAAGCTTCTACTTGGATGACAAACCTAGCACCCTGGCCTCTCAGGATATTCATTCTGCCTCAGCCTTCCATTCCCTATGTCTCACCCTGCACGGGCTCACCTTGGACCTTAGCATCACCAGAAATCACAACTTCTGAAATATCAATTCCAAATATCCCTTTCAGACCATAAGTGTCTGTACTGCCAGCTCACTTGCTTAAGTACCCCTTATTTAAGTACCCTACTACAACCACTTTTTGACAACAGTGCTTTTAATTCTTTGTCCTCATTCCAGGCTTCCTTCACATCCCCACTATCAACCCTCACATGCCAAATTTGCTTTCTATATGGTTTTGAGCTCATGTACATCATCATAAGCATTCTGTTGCAACCATCCTCTTGGCCCTTTTTCCTTCTGTTATACTTGTTTGCCAAAACTCCTACCCTGGATAAACTCAACAGTCTGTCTTCTCTATGCCTGCACCTGCACAGTCAAACATCTTCAAATATTTTAAATCGATGATCTTAATAAAATTTATGACAGAGACCTTAACCTGCACCTTATCAATAGGGCAGGCCTGTGGGAGGAGCTGAAACCTGTGGAAGGTCTAGAGCAGTGCAATCTCTTAGCATGGTCAGCTGTTAACCCAGAGGTCAGGGAGGAGCTCTTGGGGGTGATGCTGAGGTTGTGAGTCCCAGCCTGACCCAGGGAATGGTTTATGGTAGTTTGTGCACATAACTTGCCATTTCTGTATGTATTGGATTACAATCCCCCCGCCCCAAATAAATCCTTTTTGGTGGTGGAATACCTAGTTAATTCTGTTTTATAGTTGACAAACTCAAACCAAATGAGTTCTTAATATTGCTCAGAAGTCCTATTGATTAGTTTTCTTTAGAAAACCAATTTTCCACTCTCAAAAAATGTCTATTTCATACCTTCTCTCTTCTCAAACATCCTACTTCCTTCTCTTTACCCTCAGCTGATACTGCCTTTTCTTTACTGAGAAAATAAATTTATCAGACAGGAATGCTTCTTTATCTTCAAACTTACCTGTAATTGTACTCTTCTTGTTGTAACTCCTATTATAAATGAACTTCTTCATCTCTGAAACCTTTTAAGTAATCTGAGGCCCTTCATGTGCCCTTTGGAACCCATCTGATTTTTCTTCTCACAGGGTTCCTTTCTTCCATATCAATCTTAGTAGCTTAAATATAAGCTCTAATACAGCATTGCCCAGAATTTTTTTGTGATGACAGAAATGTTCTGTATGTGCACTGTCTAGTAAAATTGCTACTAGTTACGTGATTATTGAGCACTTGAAATGTGGTTAGTATGAGTGAGGAACTGAAGTTTTAATTGTATTTAATGTAATTAATTTAAATAGCCATATATGGCCAGTGGCTACCATATTAGACATTATCACTCCCAATGTAATCCTAAACAAAGCCTTGACCCCTATTCTCTGTGTTGTCTTCAGTTCCTCATCTTCTATCCACTCCTCTTTCAGTCTAGCTTCAAATGACACATAGTGTGTGATCTGCTTTGGGTAAAACTGTAGAGTTCATAAGTCTAAAGTCTCCCAGTTGCAAAATCCAATTTATTTGTATTCATCTGTTTTTAACACCGTGTTCACAACTGCATCACCAAAATCCCACCCCAAATACGCTGCTCCAGCATAATATGGTTATCCTCCTACCTTTCTGGCTCTTCTTTACAGGCTCCTCCTCTCATCAACTTTTAAAGGTCTGTGTTCACCAGGACTCATTCCTTAGACTACTTTTCTTCTCCCTTAAGATTTTTCCTTCATGCAGGGGACAGAGAAATGGAGTGATCTGTAAAGAGCCTGAATGACCCACCACCAGTCTAACTCTCCCACCTTCTATTCTCACTTGTCATTCATACAGCTCTTGGTCTCACTTATCTTCTCTAACACAAGCCTTTTCAGGGTTTTTGTGGGACACTGTATTATAGTCTTTGCCTAGTTTTGCTCTTTCCTATCCTTATGTCTTGGTTTAAATGTCACCTCTTCAAAGGTCTTCTTTGACTACCTTACCCAAATCACATTCATCCCTTGTTATTTCTCCATTTTTTTTCCCTTCCAAGCTTATACTACTATTTGTATTTATTTTTTCTTTGTTGCTATTTGTATTTATTTACTTAAGCATGTGTTGATTTGTTCAGGTCGGCTGCCTCTTCACTGGAATTTAAACTCCTTGTGAACAGAGACAATAGGTTCTGCTCTGGCCTGTGTTGCGCCAGACTCCAGCACAGGCCCGACACAAGGATGCACAGGGTAAAGAATCGACGGATGGAACCAATGAATGAGCGGGGAGGAGAGGGCACACGGCCCCACCTGGGGGACGCCCTCGCACAGCCACCCCGCCAGCAGTGGAAGCCCCTCCTCTTCCGGCCGCGGCGCGGACGCCTCGGCAGCCAAGGCGGCGGGGCCACGGCGGGCGCTGGCTCGGCCCGCCCCCTTCTCGCCGTCCCGCCCCGCCCCGCGCCTCCGCCGCCCGGCTGCTGTCAGCTCCCTCAGCGTCCGGCCGGGACACTGTATATGCTGAACAGCTGCGGCAGCCGGCTGCTGCTTGTCCTGGGCCTTGGTTTCCCGCTGGTGACCCGCCGGCCGCTTTTCCTCTGCTCTCACCGCCTCATGAAGCCAAAGGTCGTGTTCGTTCTCGGCGGTCCCGGCGCCGGCAAAGGGACCCAGTGCGCCCGTATCGTCGAGGTGAGGCGCAGGCAGCTGGCGATCTTCTGGGCTTGACCGGACGCCGGGCCGGCTTGTCCCGTCGCGCCCGTAGGTCCGCACCCCTGGGAGCCGCGGGGCCGCGGACTACGAGTCCCGGCGACCGTCGCGCCACTCGCGTGGCGGTGCTTGGGGTCCGCTGGCGCGCGGCACATGGGGAGTGGTAGTCCACGTCTGCCCGCCTTAGGGCGGTGGGAATGGAGGGGACTGCTGGGGGTTGCTTTGTTCCTGCGCCCCTCTTTCCTTATACTTGGGGACAAAGTTCATCTGGAAAAGGGGCTGGCAGAGGGATCCGGGGACAGTTAGCATCTGGGGAGCCTCAGCGCGCAGATTAGGGTGTCACTGGGAGTGGGAAGGGAAGGCAGTAGGAGCATGGATTTAGTTTAGGGGCGGTGTGCGCCCGCCGCTGCTTGCCTGAAGGGGAGATCGGTTTTTCTACTCTGCCCCTTCGGGTGAGCTCTAAACTATGAACCATCAACTCACTAGCCTTTACCCTAGCAAAGAGTTCCGGCAGACAGGCTGTTGCGTTAGGTGTTGTGTGGTCCGCCAATAGCGCTTTCTGGCCCCTTCAGTTGGCAGTACCAGCCCTGACGCTCAGTCTCAGTTCGGTGGTTGGAAAAACTGTGGAGCCCAGTACTGAGATCAAGCTTCAACCTCAGGCTGTGCTGCCAACTCATGCTTTGTTCACGGCCAAGTCACTTCCTCTCTCCGAGTTGTACACCCAGTTTTAAACTCAGTATAAAATACCTCCCAATTCTGATATTATGTTACTTTTTTTTTTTGCTTCAAGTGGTGATAAAGTTACCACTTCAATTCTGTTAACAATTTTCTAACAGATACGTGATCACCTGCAGTGACACTGAGAAATGCTTATTGGAGAGTCGGGGGAATATTTGGGAGAGAAGGAAAACAAGATATGTAGGAACAGAAGAGGTGACAAGGGGTGCTGTAAAATACCCAAAGAATCACTGCGAAACTTAGTGACTAACAAAAGTTTTGACCCAGAACCTCTAAAATAATTACCCCCTCTGTTGAATGATGTGGCTGGCTTATTTTAGCATGGGCCTTTAATTCTTCTTCTGTGTTCCTACAATTCACTCCTGTCCTATATTTTATTCTCTAAAGAGCATCCAGAAAAAGTCAAATGGTAACATCTACTTCATTTTGTATTCTACAACTGTATTTATCATAATTGATCATTTTTATGAATAAAAGTGGAACTAATTCAACCACAATATACATAAATATTTTCTCCTCATTTTTGTTGGTTCTTTTCACTTTTTAGAAGACAAATGACAATTGGATGATTTCAAGTTTTTGTTTTATGTATGAAATGACTCATGTAAATAGCACGATAGAGGAAGGAGCAAAGACTAAAGTCAAACGGATGTGGAGTCAAATCCTAACTGCCATTTACTGTTTGTTTAGTTCCAGAGAAGTTGTTACTCTTAGCTTGACTTTCTCTGTAAAAAGGGAGAAAAATCTATCTAATATGGTATTTGTGAATATTAAATAAAGTAAAATCTTTGGCTTTGGCACACAGATGCAAATTTTTCCCCCTCAATTTAGACTTCCTGTACTTTATGAGATTGGTTATTTTTACTTTGTAGTAGTGTTATTTTTTATTATTAAAAATTTTTTTTCTTTATTGATTTTTAGAGAGAGAGGAAGGAAGAGGGAGAGAGAGTAACGTCAATGAGAGAGAACATCAATTGGCTGCCTCCTGCATGCCCCCCACTGGGGCTTGGGCCCACAACCTGGGCATGTGCCCTGACTGGGAATCAAACCATCAGGAATCAAAACGGTGACCTCCTGGTGCATAGGTCTTGCTCAACCACTGAGCCATGCTGGCTGGGCAGTAGTGTTACTTTTTAAAACTTAGTTTATGACCATTATATTTGAATGCTAAGTATTTTGTTTCTGAACTGGAAAGTGGCTTTAAATGTCCACACCCAAACTAATAATACCTGTTTTACTGCACTGGATTAAAAATAATCTGCACATTTTGTAACTAGTATTTATTCTTATCTCTGGTCAGTAAGGGCTGATAATATTTTAACCCTACTAATTATCTATTATAAGATTTTCCTGATGAGATATGTTTTATAATTTATTATTAAAATAATTTATTTTATAATTTATTTTTTAAGATTTCAGCAATTATATGAGCTTAAACTGTTTTAAACTGTCATCTTTTGTGAAAGTAGTTTCTCTTGATTTCAATTGCCATAAACATTAAGTTGATGTCTACAAATTCCAAATAGTTTATAATTTAGTAATTGCTATTCTCCAGTTGACTAAATAAACAGTGGAATGTCTATGGTCAGTTAAATCTGAGGGTTTTTTTTTTTTTTCTTTGTGAGTCCTTTGTATTTTGATTTAATATTTTATTATACAGGCAAACTAACTGAATCCCCAAAGATTGTAATTTTTGAAACAGAATTTTTTTCCTGTAGGGAAAAAGCAATAGAAACCAGGTTAAATTTCCCAACTGTCATGCCAGTGCTAATTTAGCTTGCAGGAGCCCTGAAATGTGGCTGATATAGAATTGTTTCTTTGAGAAAAATACATTGATTTCCAACTCAGGCTGCCAGAAGTACACTTTAGGGCCCTAGCTACAGAACCTGCAACTACCTGGCTCTCTAATGTCTTGAGGAATTGCTTTTAGGAATGTGGATGTAACTGGAGGGAAGTCAGTACTTGTTTTTTTTTCTGGAGGAGAATTCTACCTCTGCTACTTTTCTCCCACACCTTGAGGAAGGAAAGGCAAATCTGATACAGTATCTTCTGAAAGTGTTCTGAACTAGGAAGGAAAGGTTTGAGGGGTTTTAGTTTTGACTTTGCCCATTTATTTATACTAGTATTTTTCTTTTCTTTTTTTGTTAGCTGAGATTCCCCCCACCCCCGACCCCCATTACTACGACTTCTTTTTTTAATTGTTGAAAGTGTACTGGTATTTTCCAAATTTGTTTTATTTTCTAACCAATTGTTTCTATTTTCTGTGTCCTCTCATACCCAACTTGTTTTTGAAAATTAGCTATTTTTAAAATCAGTGCAATCCTCTTAGAGTTAGTGTTTAGGGTAGAGTTGTTACGTAATAGCTTGTTACTAAAAATTCTTAATGAGGATACTACCTTATTTTTGAATTTTTAAAGTTAAGCTTTATTTATATTATTTTGACCCAAGAAAAATTATGGTGCTGTAACCTAAACTTGTCTTTGAAAATAACAACTACAATTTTGATGTGATAGCTGAAAGACATCTTCAAACCTCTTTTAAAGGTGGTGAACATTTTACTTACTTAAAAAAAAATTATGCTAAAGCTTATATCCATGCCAAATTGCTTTCTATAGCACCCAAAAAGATTCTTATCTTTTGTGTCATAATGTCCAAGTCTGAGCTTTTTGGGTAACTCATACTTTAGCCATCCTACCTACTGTCCTTAGAAAATTTTGGGTGATATTGACATTAAGCATGTAGAAATCAGAAACTTGATTTTACTTATCTTTATGTCTCAAGTGTTGAACATTGTGCCTGGCACATAATAGGTGCTTAATAAGTATTCTTTGAATGGTTATTTTTAGAGGATACTAGTTTGTACTAAAGATGTAAAAAAAATTTTAATTTGATCCCCAGGGGGCACCCACGTAGCAGTTAGCTCTCCCAATTTCAGGATAGAGGGTTTAAAGGAGACCTAGCTCTGTCTTACTAAAGTTTCTTGTGTAACACTTCTGTTTACCCTCAGTGAATAAATGTATGGTTGTGAAAATTTGAGCATTCTAAAAATTCCAAGCTCCTGATTACACATCCCTGAAGCAGATTACCATTCATAGAAGAAACTAGATAGGAAGACCCACTGGACATAAAGCTTGTTTAAGAATAGTTGTTGTTGTTTTTTTGTAGTTTTATTTTTAAATATGTTTTCATTGATTTTTAGAGACAGAGGAAGGGAGAGGGAGAAAGAGATAGAAACGTCCATTGTCTGCCTCCTGCACACCCCTCACTGGAGATTGAGCCTGAAACTTGGGCATGTGCCCTGACCAGGAATTGAACCAGCAACCTCTTGGTACATGGGTTGATGCTCAACCACTGAGCCACACCAGCTGGGTGTTTGTTTTTAAAGAAAGTTTAAGATATCTGTGATAGAGATAGTCCACAGAATTCTTGACTCTTCTGAAGCACCACCTTGTCATTAAAAGTGTTTATAACATAGGATATTTTTGTTAAGAACTTGGAGAAAAGACTATATTCTGATATTACTAGCCTTACTTTTGAAAGCTTCCATATATATATATTTTTGTCTTTCTAGTTTAAGTTACAAAAGTTACATACTAGTTGGGAAAAGTTAATCTCTAATCTGAGGTCATTAGTATTAACTGCTTTCCCATCTCTTTGTTAATATTCTTACAGATAAAAATACAAATATTTATTGTTTTTATCTTCAAGAGCGATTATTCTGTTTTCTGTGGAATGTATGATGGATATCTTTTCAGGTCTTTACATAACATTTAATTCCTTCTTATTAGTAGCTGCAGAGTATTCTATAAAATGGATGCTACATAGCATGGTTGTATCATTCCCCTATCGATAAACATTCAAGATAGTTTCCAGGAATTATTTTGCTGTTGCAAACAGTGCTTCAATAAACTTTCATGTAAATATAACATTGCATATGGATACTTTATTTATTTATTTTTATCCTCACCAAGGACATTTTTCCATTTTTTTTATTCAGATAGAGTGGGAGGGAGAGAGAGGAAGAGAGAGAGAGAAACATTGACGTGAAAGAAACACATTGAGTGGCCGCCACGCACGACCCGACCAGGGCCGGGTACAAACTACAGCCAAGGTACATGCCCTTAGCAGGAACCAAACCCGGGTCTCTGTGGACTGCAGGCTGATGCTCTAACGCTCTAAGAGCCAAACTGGCCAGGGCAATACTTTATTTTTGACAGTAATGTTCCTAAAAGTAGGTCCCTGTT